CTTTTTCGTTTTTCCAAAAATTGCTTATAATTTTTCAGGGAGTACAGGTAGTTTCACTGTGGGCTCCATGCTTGCTCCGACAGCTTGATGGAACATTACACAGAGGTGGGGCTTAGCAAAGGATCAATTAATCAAATATTAGTCTCGATCACAATTTTTGCTTCTCAAAATTAAATGAACTATACCCATTGGTAGCTTTGTCACCTTCTACCTATGCCAATCCTCAATGCCTATGTGCAGTTTCACATAGATTGACCATGTCAGTGAGTAGAAAAATGTGGGACAGACAGAATGACTGACAGAATGACACACTGACAGTTTCCGTGGTTATGCACAGCATACCATACCATGACTTAGTCATACCAAAAATTAGAAAAAAAACCACCCAAAACATTGGGCCACAGGGGGAGCCACAGCGATTGGTCGCATTTTAGCCATTTTTAAGCATTTTTCTGTTGTTATAGCGCCACCCAGTTGCCAATTAGAGTTACATTTCTCCAGTCACCTTGAGGCATCCTGTTCTACATATCTACCAAGTTTAGTAAAAATTGATATGGCGGTTAGGCCTAGATAAGAAATTAGCTCTCTAGCGCCCCCATTTGTTTGATTGGGTCAATAATGGAGGGGTCCCCTCAGATTATGTGTGGTCATATGCCTACAAAGTTGCGTGGTGATCGGTGAAACCCTTGAGATGTTATACACCTTTATGTGATGAGCCACGCGCCCCGCAATATTCATTGCCTTATAGAAGCTCAGTTTTAGTAAGTTTTCCAACTTTTGCCAAGAGGGAACTTTAGATATTGGTCCCTAGATTATGTTCACCGAGTTTCATGCAGATCGGTTAAACTTCCTAGGCAGAGATCGATTTTAAGTGTTTTTCAAAAAATTCAATATGGCGAAAAATCTATACAACCGGAAGTTATGGGTTCTTGAGGCAAATTTGTTCCTCATGAGGAGAGGCATCTCTGTGCAAAGTTTCATGTCTCTACGACATACGGGGCATGAGATATGCCCATTCAAAGTTTGCAATTTCAATCTGTTGCTATAGCGCTCCCTTTGGCCAATTGACGTAATTTTGCTTCATTCGCATCCTCCCATGACCCTCTACCACAGTGCCAAATTTCACATGGATTGACCAAGTCAGTGAGGAGAAAAATGTGGAACAGACACACAGACACACCCACAGACAGAGTTTTCGTCATTATATAGTAAGATATGATCCAATGCAATATCGATGTTAAAAATGTGTGCGTGACTCTGAGAAAAATCCACTGCATGTCAAATCAAGCACTTCCTAGCCTAACCTTTACTGAATGTTGTGGATGTAGTCCAGAGTAGACTAAGAGAGTAAAAAACAAAAGAAAACAGACGGAATGCAGAAAGCTAGTCCCTCTATACAGATCATCATCCATTCTTTGGAAGTATTTCAGATTTAGACTGCATCAGATGTGTGTCTGTGCAACAAAGCAACACAACGAATGTGTTCAAACACCTGAAAAAATACTACAAACTGCAGTATGATGAATGCATGAAGGCTAAGAAGAATACACCAGGTAATGTGACACACGTTGCCTCAATGAATCCCCGTCCTTGTCCTGCGTTAGCTCAGACATCCAGTGATGCTGTACAGTGCATATCCATCCAGCTCTCATAGATGGACTGAAATGACCAATGCAGTTGCATTCCATTTGGCAAAACAGATGTGTGAAATTAACACTTAGGGCAGTTTGCAATGGAGTCTCCGCCTCCATAAATAATAAGCCAGAAGATAATTGAAGTCCTGAGCCTTATTATATCTTTTGTGGAAAAGAGCGGATTGGCCAATCTTAGTACTACAACTCCTTTCAACTCTACGAAGATGCATACAAGCTAGCTTTAGCAGCTGGAGCATTTTTAGTGCACAATACGTGTATTGTTAAAAGAAAAAGTATTAACATAATACAACAACAGCAACAACAACAACTTATGTAAATATTATATATATATTATATATCAAATAATGTGCAATGCATTAAATAAATAAAAAATAAACAATAGCAAACAGTTGCCTATTTACACATCCAGAGAAACTGAGAAACATAATAATTCCTTTGAAGTTGTGTTTTTGGCAAATGTAAGCACAATATTTACTCACTTGTAGCTCTGTTTTGGTCTCCACCATCTCTTGGGAAAAATATCTGTCTCTTTAGTTATTAAATAGTCCACTATGTTCACCAGCTAGTCGCTAATAGTGTCTGTCAGCTGTTTGGTGCGGAACAGATAAGTATACAGTGGATTTATCAAGCTGAAAACAGCCGCCTGCTGTGGCTATGAGAGTGGTGAGAATGAACCAACTGCTAAAGTTAGACTCATAAAACAACAACAAGCTGAACTACACTATACAGCTGATGAAAACTGCATTTGGTTAACCCCTACGAGTCACATACAACTGTTGATGTGATTGATATTGAAGGTAACATTATTGATTATAGGCTGCAGCTTGAATTTTTGCATCACATTTTGGCTTTTGTTGAATGACAGAGTTTTTTTGTACAGAGAATGGAGCTCAATAAGACATCATGTTTAGATTTGTTTCACTGATTACTTCCAGCATTATCATGTGCCATCATATCAGATTTTACAAACACAGCAGTGACAGTATTTTTACTTCTCTTAGACTGCACAAATCCACATCAAATGACTCAGTTTGCCTTTTCCTGGACTTTAACTTCTAAGTCTACTTGAGACTGGTATTCCCCCTCCCACCACCACCTCACCCGCTGATTTCACTTTGTGCGGGTTTGTTTCAGGTCAGTGGCAGTGACTTGGGGCAGGAATGCCAATGTGTGCTCACAGTCAGCAGCTAGTGCTAATGGCTGTGCTACACACATTAAACAGGGGGGAAAGCTGCTCTGAAAGTGACAGGGCAAAAATGTCACTGCGTACAACATTATGAGAAACATGGTCAGTGTCTATCAAACATACACAGCTCAGAGGGAAAACAGTTACAAAATCACAAGGCGAGACTGCACTGATACAGTGGAAGACATTTGGACAAATGTCAGCCATTTTGAAGCCTTATTAATATGTGGAAGTATGATATGGTTAAGGACAATGTGAAGTTGCACAAACAATCTCTGTGCAATGAATAATAAGAGAACAGAGCTTTGATGGTTGTGATGTACTTTTCTGTGAACATACTGCACACAGGAGTCTATTTACACTATGCAACATTCATGGTCTACTGTACATGATTTTTAGGCATTATTTAAAAAAAATTGCTTACATTTAATTTCAGTCAGATAATACCTGAAATCACACATTTAAGCTACTCTACTAATTTAACTCTAATAGCTCAAACAAATAAGTTCAATGTGAAAGAGGTCACTCAGATAATCCCACATAATTGTTTTAGCATCTTTTTTAGAATTGTTTTGCTTTTCCTGCCCAATACCCAACTGTCTTGATTAACTCTCACCGCTCCTATCACTGTTGTGTCCAGATAACCTGTGCTCATTCCGAGGGAGTAAAATATGGAAGCCTAGTCAGTGGCCCTTAGCCTCTGTTACCAAAACACAAGGCACACTACAGCATCTGTATGAGACGTACCGGGCTTTTAACTGAGTCCAATGTAATTTAATCTGTCCAGTTTTTAACCAGGTAATCTAGTCACTGGTATAGGTCATGTGAAATCAATGTCAGCAAGTGTAAAAGAACAGTTATTTTATTACAACCATAGTGAGTTTCCTACGTTTCCTTTGAAGATGGAAGTTTATTTTGAGAAACGTTGAAGCATTTAACGAGTGGAAATTGACACAGAAACTGACATGTCCAAACAGGATGCTAGAGGGATACAAAGAGTGTCACAGTTTGAAGCTTAGGGCCCTTGAACAAGCTGCCATATTTAAGAAATTGTGGAGTGATAGGTTGGTCCAGCTGCAGCAGGCAGCTGTTCTGATCAAAAAAGCTTTTATAAACCCACCAATCACTTCCACTTTCCTTCCTTCCTAAAGTTGCTTTCTATCTCCTGGAGCAATAAACTTTTGGCTAATTCTTTTGCCATAACAACATTCTAAGTTGATAATATGTCAGTAGAGTGCTTTGCATTTTGTTTCTGGTGCCCCCAAGTGGCCAAGAAATTAGCTTGTTAAAGCCAGTGTTCTAAGTTATGAGTGATCCTTCTGATGGCAAATTGCAGGGATTCTTTTTGAGTACATTCATTCTTAAAAAAAAAAAAAAACTACTACAGACAGATAAACAATATAGGATGTTCATGACAGATAAACTGACTGTATTTCCAGGATTTGATGTTTTTTGAACATTTTATAAGTAGCTTGGCTTGTCCATTCAGTGGATGAGGTGTTTGTTAACAGCAGTTTTCAAATCATTATCAACCTTAAATTGTTTTCTGTCATCAGTCGACATTATGTAATTGGGTATGGATATGGAAAAGTCTAAACACTGTGGGTCAGGCCATTTCAGGGGCAGCTAATCCAATGAAGAAATGTTGAGACGTTCTTTAGAAGTGAAATGTCCCTATAACATGAGAACCTTCATCAACAGGTTTGTCAGCTTCACACTCCCTTGGTTCTATAACTTTGCATCCAATTAGCAACTCCATTACTGTTCTCACTGAGCTGGAAAAATTACATTGTACTGCAGACATTTGTAATTTCACCATTCAGTGTACACCTTGTCATAGGTGGTTACATAAAGACAAATTTGGTCAGTGATCCAAGTGTAAACAAAGGTGTTTCCGCATCATCAAAATATGTATGCATATATAAGTATTTATATATTTTAAATTGTGATCAGCTTAAAAAAAAAACACAGAAATCATCTAACTTTATATGAGAATATACAATGTAGTATACGGTCAAAAATTATTGGTTAACCTTTTATTGTTTTTTAAATGTTAACCCAAATTTTTTTATCAGTTTAATGAAGTCTTTGATTTTCCAGCACCCCTCCCATCCATTCAGCTACTCTGACCTATTTGCCTGTTCTCTTCTTGAACGCAGCATGGAGGAGACGGTGCGCACGCTACTACAGAACCAGGACTCTCTGGAGGGGCCCAAGGTGGACCCACTGGATCTCATGAAAGCGTACAAGGTACAACATATGTTTTAGTCCTTTGAAGTTATTTTGTTTCTATGACACTGATGTGATCTTAATGGTGTTTTTTGCCACTATCAGTTTGATCTGAGTCAAGTGAGATCTTGACTAGAAACTGAAAAACTTGTTCTGAAGCGGGAAAAAGGTCATATGATAATGTGAAACAGTAGTTTGAGCACCATTATTTTTACTAATGTCCTACAGAACTGTAATAAGAAAATATGTGAACAATTGATTTTTTTCACTTTTCATCATTCAGATTGTAGATATAACAATAACTTTAGAAAACCCTAGAGATGATTTGCCATTAGACATACTATTGATCTCACCTTGGAATGGATTTTCAAGTATTTTATAATGTGCTCTGTCAAGATTATGATATAAGTGGCAGGATTATTGTTTTTCATACAGGTTGTAATGTGTATCTATAAGACATTAAAAAATGGTATTTCTGGAGATTTTAAAGACTGACTTCTAGAGTGATGCATGATCTCAAAAACTGTAGATGTTACTGATCAATATTTAGCTATTTAAGTGTATAGGGTCAACCTGGTCCAACTCCCAAATTGTCAGATGCCAATGCTTAATCAGTGGCCCTCAGCATCAGACCCAGACCCACAGAGGCATACTTAAGCAGCGGTATGAGACACAACAGATGGTGGCATTTTTTGACTGACTACCTTGGGGCGGCTGTGGCTCTATGGACGACTGTGGCGTCTTGTGGTGGGAGGTAGAGTAGGTCATCCACAAATTCAAAGATCATTGGAAGATTAGGATTTAATCCCTGGCTCCTCCAGTCTGCATGCCGAAGCATCCTTGGGGAGAATACCGAACGCCAAATTACTCCCAATAGCTGTGCCATTGGTGCGTGAATGTCTAAAAAACTCAGTAGCAGGTGGCACCTTGTATACTAGCTTCGGCCACCAGTGTGTGAATGTGTGTCTGAATGGGTGATTGTGACTCATTGTGTAAAAGCTCTTTGAGTGATCAGAAGACTATAAAGGTGCTATACAAGTGCAAGTCTATAGATCCACTTACCATAAAGAGTGAGGAAGTCTGCATAGGTGCATGCATCAAACTCTGGTGTTCTTTGTGAATCCAAAAGTCAGTTGAGTTACTTGTCATGTGACATTAGCCTTTATTACATTAGTTACAAACGTGCTGTTTTAAGCCAAACCATGATGTGTTTCTCTCAACCCAACACATACTTTTGTTGCCTAAATCTAAGGAAGTAAACATAAAAACAACCTTTTTTACCTATATTGTAAGCTTATTTAGAAAAGACAGTATGCATTTACAGAAACTATACATTTTCTGTTAAAATGGAAGTTTATTTTGCATAGAGACAGTCCATGTAACAAGCGTAAATTGACATGCTGCCCCTGAATGTCCAAAAGTAACACAAGAGGAGTACCTAGCATGTCATATTTTGACATTTAAAGCCACTGATCAAGCGTCTGTAAGCGTCTGTTTACATAGTTAGCATTGCTTTAATTGTTATTAAAGAAAAATCATTTGTTTTGACATGACCTTATTACACTAGAAGAAAGAGCGCTTTCTTCAAAGCTTTTTAAGCAGTTTACAGAAGGTTAATGTTAAAAGGTTAATTGAAAATTCCAGTATGGCATTAAGGTTAGGGTTACAGGTCTGTGGGACCTGTCCCCAGATGGAGATGTGTCCTCACAATGTGACTACAAGAACAGGTTTTTGTCCCACACACTTCAGATGATCAACTCTGATGTAATTCATTATTTGTGCTGGTGTGGATAGTATGCAAAACATAAGAACTAATGAACCACATATATGTGGTTCATCATTTGGTATACCAAATACAAACAAGGCTCATAATTCACAATACTGATTAGTTGGTGGTAATATGTAACGCAGCCTTATTTATCTCCTATTGTTTTATGTTATCATTCATCTTCCTCTTTTTTAATAAAGGCCTTTTAATATTTTGGTGCAAATTACATCACAAGCTAATAAACACCCGGCAAACATCTCATCTCTAACCTCATGCAAACAAATATAAAAGATAAAACAGTAAAAAAAAAAACACCAACAGAAATAAAGAGCAGATATTAGAGAAGTTATTTTGTTATTTCAACACATCATGTGGTATTATATAAATGTGTAAAAAAAGAAAAGAAATAAAAAGAGATAAAGAATAGAGATGAATTATGTTAAAGGTGCAGTAAGCCCAGTCTTTACAGTAGGCCTATGTTATGCTTTTGATTTAAGTTCAATCTACAGTATCAGACAGTGAGAGTACCTCCTTTCCGCTGGTTGTGATTATCTGCCTGCTTGATGAGCAAACCTGAAAGGCTGTCATCCACCACGTTCCACTGAGCTTAATACATTTAAACAATAATGCTTGTAATGTTGAATATCTACTGATTCAATACAAAGTCTGTTTATTTTGTACTGTTTTTGCCATTTTTACACTGGTGTCCAGTAAACTATAAAACCAGTTACTATAAAACCAGGCACTTAAAAGCTAGAGTCAAAATCAGTAATCGTAGTTGATATATATTTTAAAAAATACCTTAAAAATTCTGCCTGTGACAGTCTGAGCATTCATATGACAACAAACAACTATTTGTTGTGTAATGATACAGTAATTGCATCCTGAGCAGAGAACAAAGTCACGCTTCCTTTGTGTGTGTTGTAATCTGAGCTTCTCTGTTTGCTGTGGTGGCTGGTATGGCTGCATGTGCATTTTAGTGCATGTAAGTTCCTGTGTAATACCGTTAGCACTGTCAGCACTGTTGCTGTTGTAAGTGTTGTTCAGGCTGTTTGCGCTGTAGCTGCTAGCCACTGGCTGAGCCACTTCCATGTTGAGAGCAGTGTACATCAGTGCATCCAATCCCGACTCAGACTCTGAATCATAAATGTGCTCTGAATGTTGTATACAGCTCCTTAAAAAGATACAGGAACCATTTGAAGGAAAGTCAAGACTTCAACTGAACCATTCTCAAACAAATGCATAATCACAAGGACATGTAAAAATCATATTTGACCTCCCTCCACTGAGCTCAATACCACCACCAGCTTTTGCCCCAGTGCTTTGTTTATTAATACATTCACTTTAAAAACCATTACATGAACTCATCTCATGAATCCCCTACATATCCCTGCACTTAAGAGTTCACAGCTGAATTGAGCAGTCACAGAGGGGCATAAGCATTTATTCATTCATTCATTTTGGAGTGCTTTTTCTGGCCACTTGTTGGGGGAAACATTCACTTGTTTTAGCTTTCATTTGGTCCACAAGCTTCTGAGGAAAATATTTATCTCTCTTTGGCTTGTTAAATGCTCCACTCTCTTCACCAGCCAATTGTTAACTTTGTCTCTCTACCATTTCACACTGGGCAGGAAGTGTGCACCCAGCTTGTCTGAGCTTGTGAGTCAGAGAGACTGTTCTCACCAGAAAAGACATCGGATATATGGACATTTGTTCAAACACTTGAAAATACAGATTATTATGTTTTCCTTTATGTTTCCCCTCATGTTTACAAGTGACCTCTTATAACTGTGCAAATATAACTGTCCTCACTAAGTAGCAAAGACAAAAACAGTGTGTGTAGTGTTGCTGTTGGATACAACAACATTTAACTCTATAGGTAGCAGGTGATGTCCTTCTCCTAACAATAGCCTGTCTGGTTTTAGTAAGCTAAACTTTTCCAGAGTGTAGTTATAAAGAACAAGACCAAAAATGATATTACACTATTTTGGATGAATTTTAGATGGCACTGACATAAAATGTGCTGCGAAGTCTCCAGTTTAAGCCGATATTTAAATAATGACAGAGTTTGGTAGCTGATGGCACAAAAATAAAAGAATGATAAAATATAAATATTAAGGGGTATGGAATTACCTGTAGCCTATTACAATAGCAGTAAATGTAGTATAATGTGCATTTCCACAGCATTAATTCCATCAGTACAACAACAGAGCCATGTTATATGTAGCACTGTGCTGCTCTCAGTTTTATCTTTTTTAATGGAAAGAGGGATTTATTATAATTAGGTCCGATCAATCTGTGAAGGTACCTTCAACAAAACTCAACAGCTCCTGATGTTTTTTTTTAAATGAGGAGTCTACCTATGAAGGGATAGCTGCAAGACTCTCAGAGCCCTAATTTGGTGGTGGCAAAAAAACCCAGCATAAACCATACTCCAACCGTGCTTGTTATTTTCCTGAATTCACTTTGCCCAGCTGTGTAATATTTTGTTGTCAAGCACTGAGCGAGCAGAGGGCACAGAGGGCACGGAGCACACGGGCGAGAACATAGGCGCAAACATGTTGGAGGTTCATTCAAGTGAGGCAGTGTGAAGCAAGTTGTTGGGATTTTGGTAAAAATTGTTTGCCCTGAGACGTCTCAATACCTCGCCTGTTCATCACTTTTCATCATGCTGCTGCCACTGGTGACTTTATCAACAAAGCAAACTTAAAACTTGAGCAAATATGCAGCAATAATTGAATCGTGCATAGAATGTAAATAAACAGTTTATAAAGACGTGTTTAAATCTGCATCAAAAATAACTTTTGATGTGGTTGAAAAATTGAATTTATCTAGGCTATAAATAAATATTATTCATTCTTATAGTATCTGTTGTCCACTGCTGCTTTATACTGTATGAAGAGCTTCTCCTTGAGTTCATTAAAAGGCAGCAGGACACATATGCTGATAAATCTACAGCCTCTGATTTGAGAGGTGCCGCAGCAGAGCGTACTGCCATTATATAAGTCTGTAAACTGTATTTACCTTCATCAGATCACATGCAAATGACACCAGGCTACTCCAGAATAACCACACACCTCTACACACATCAGAGGTCAGTTATAAGTCGGTATGCTGTTGTTAATTCCGTTGACGTCAGATTACCCTGGTTTATTAACACCATGCATCAACATTAAAAAAGAAATCAGTGATTGATGTTTCATCTTAAAATGCAGAATGAGGCAACGTTAGTACATTTTAAAATATAGTACCATTTACAATGTCAAGTACAGTAGAATTATGGCTAGAATAGCATTAGATTGGTGCAAACATATAACCTGCTTCACCAAACTATTTATTGTTTATTTCAATTTGCTAAATAACTTAAAAATCCCACACTATCTGCTTCTGACTGCAGATTTGTGATGCTGTGTGATCACATTGTGTCTCTCCATACAATACAGACACAACGTATCCTCATACAAAGATTTGTATGGTATCATTCAAAATTGCACATACAACAGTTCGTATGATATCTAACGAACTAGCACCCCACGATTGACATTCGTACTTTACGTAAATTATGTACTTAACATAAAGTACATAGAGTAGGTTAGGTTTAGGAAAAGAACTATGGACATAACATACCTGAAAATGACTCAAAGGTTATTTGGTTTCACACATTTCTGAACACTTTTCTCCTGAGGAAAGTCCTGTGTTTGTTTGACCAGTCCAGTGTGTCATTCACACTAATTCAGTGTTACTAATAAAAATATGGATTAATTAAGCTTTGAAGTGAAGTGAAAGTTTTATACTACTGTGCCTAAGTAGTGGCAGCATTCAGAGAGTTGTTTATCAAGAGTTATTGCTATTATAGCTGGAGCCCACAATGATAAAGAGTTTATTTTTCATTTCTTTGTGACTTTAAGGCATGCATCTTTGATCTGCTCTCTCTACTTTTCAGGACAAACTCCTAGAGGAAATGTGGAAGCAGCAGGACAGTCTGGAGGGTCCCACAGCCACAGTGGCAGCAGAGATGCCTGCCTCGCCTGAGGCCGGCGGAGGGTCGGAGGAAAATTCAAAGGACAGCAATCCCCTGCTCGAGCGACTCAGAGCCCTAGAGGTAAAGTCAATTGCATGGTCCACTTCTTACCATTCCCCCGTTTCCCTTTTCCCCACCACTCTTCTTGTTCGCCATGCCTGAAACATCAGATAGATCGATATATTGAGTACTATATGTTTCATTCAATTAAATGTATTTCACCAGATATCCATAGAGACTTGGAATAATTAGGCAGCTCAAGGACAGCACGCAGGGCTGTTTTTCCAAGGACTGAACTTGAGTGTTCTGGTTACTTATTAGTATGTCTGCTCACTACAAGTTTTTCTTTTTGCTCTTTCAGAAGAATTACTGGGTAGATGGGTTTTTTTAAGTAGTGACATGGTGTTAGTTCACCCCCCCAACACTTTGACTGTGATAGGCTGTTACACAGATCGATTAACTAATGATCACTTTTACTCACTTTAGCTAGAACACAGGTCACAATATTGTGGTCTGTGAACCAAATCTGGCCATCCACTAACATCATTTGGCCCGCTCAGTAAAAATTTAGTTTTTTCTTGCTGGCCTTCATCAAGACCTTTAGGCATGCTGCAGAATTCTGCTGCAGAATCCTGAGCTCCAGCTTTCAATTGCTATTTTTGTTGTGTCAGACTGGGTTATGTGGTGGAAATTGCAAGCTGAGGGCTAGGCTATTTTAAATCATTAGTAAAATCTAGGATGCATAAAAAAACAATTCATGTGCTGCCTAAGGTAAATAGATAATGAAGTCCTCAAGAACACTGGAACATAGAACCTGTCTTGAATTTAAAAGCTTGTTTGAATGAAGTGATCATTAACCACTGTCACGTGTCATTCACAGCAGCCGAGTCTGCGTAGCTTCATTTGAAAATACCAGTGAGCCATGTAGATGAGAAACAAGCGCAATCAGTGTTTCATCATGCCTCTATCCATCTTTGAAAATGAGCCCACTGAAAATGAGACCCTATTATGCTGCAGAGCAGTCCAAGGGGCAAGGCAGAAACATCAGGATACAAAGGAGTTATTCATATCCAGGAGGTGATAATTAAAATGCTGACAGGGTAGTTAACATTTGCAGCCAGTGTTCCAGTGAATGTACATTGTGCCTATCTGTCACACCTTCCCTGCTAAAGGTAATAGGACATACCATCTGTTGAGAGGTCTCACAGCCATTATTGATTGCACTTTTATATCTACGGCAAAACAAAGCCTAAAGGTAAAATCCACCTAAAAACAGAATTCACTTTGTTAATTCTGCTTTGTATGTTTTGTTTCAATGCAAGGCCATAGCCACGGAGTGAGCATAACAGGGCTAGGGATTTCAAAGGGGAATTATCATTTTCGGAAAACTAACAAAAACTATTACAGTCGACACTGATGTAGCTTAAATAACATGAATGTTACATTCTGTTTTTTCCACTTTGTAGTGCATTTGAAGGTGATAACATAGTGACAGAATACAGTGTTTGACATTGATTGTACCTATCCACAGGGTACAGCAACACCACTTCCACATTTTGAGCGTATTTTTAATATGGGGGGGCTTGTCCACCCAATATATATCACAATTACTGCCTTGAAATAAACCCAGAAACAGTTTTAATGATTGTTGGTAGTGGTGTTACTGTAGGTGGTGTTAGGTGAGAGCAGATGTGAATGGGGATGGTGTTTGGATATCACACTTTATTGCTGATCTTCAGGGGCTCCAGAAGAGCTCCAGAACTTCTTCAGTTTTAAATTGCAGGACTGTAACACCAGAATCTTGTGTTCACTTCCAGGCTCCTGTCTGTGGTTAGGTTTAGGCAACTAAGGCACTTTAGTTAAGGGTATGGGAAAGATTGTGGTTTATATTAAATGTTAATAAAAAAAATGATAACAACAAATAATAATGTAGTCATTACAAGTGGAAAGTGTATTACAAGACTGCCTATTCTGATGTAAAACAAATGAAATATGTTGTCACTGAACATTTTGCTGATGCATTCAGTATCAACATTTTTGCAACTTGCAAGATACATTAATCAGCTATTTCCTCCCAGTGTTGATAAAACATTTAATTTGCTTTTTATTATGTTTCCCTTAAAAACATATCTGTCATATAATTTCAATTATATCTTTCTTAATGTCTTACTATCTTAAATATATATAATAATATATACATATATTTATATATATCTTCTGAGAAGGAGGAGGAGGAGGAGGAGGAGGAAATACTGGAAAAAAAATGAACCCTTCTAACTCTTTCTGTCCTGAAACATCTAGAACTGAATACAACCCACATACAAGTTGATGGCATTTGTGAGTAGCCAGGTTCATTCTGAATATAACAATATACACCAATCAGCCAAAACATTAAAACCACTGACAACCACCCACTCAAACACCGTTGCAGACCAAGAACCCCCCCCTCATGGCAACAGTACTCCCCCATGGCAGTAGCCCCCCAGCAAGATAATGCACCATGCCACACTGCAAACATCGCTCAGGAATGGCCCAAGGAATGTGACAAAGAACTCAAAGGCCTCTAGTTTCGCAGACCGGGCGAGGCGGAGCCGCAGCGCACCTGCGCTTCGCCAACTGGGTGTGGCCGGGTCAGACGGCCAAACTTCTCCCAGGAGGAAACTGATGTTTTGGTCCAGGAGGTCCAAGCTCGCAGTTTCCGAATATACGGAACTGACCTCCACGAGCTGATGATGCAAAGGTAGCCTGGGAGGAGGTCACCACAATTGTAAATCAATGTTGCGTTTCTCTCGTGTGCGCGCGCTCTCTCTTTCTCTCTCGCAGTCTCACTCTGTTTCTTTTCTTTTGACTTTTCTAAGATGACAGATGCTGAATATATACTCCCTATCTGATGCTGTGGCTGTTTGTGGTTGGCTGAGAGGGATGTGAACTCATCAGTTTGCAGCTGTGTTAATCAAATCAAGTTGGGTTTCCATTAGGCGTGCCAAACGTGCCAAACGGTGCCAGTCCCCTTTGATTTGACATCAGATGTGACGGGACAGTCGATATAGAGATACATTTATGTGCTGATTGCAGATAGTTGCATTGAATAGTGTTTTTTTGGGTATTTATTGCATCGTTAATGTGCCTGATATTCTGGAAACCTACCTGTGAGGTTTTGGTGATGTGTGTGCACTGTCCGCCGGTCAGCCAAACTTCGGCTTACACCGGCTGCGCTCCCCCTGCGCTGACGGTAGACCTGATTTCAGCTGGCGAGTTTTCAGCGCACCTTTGGCGAAGCCTTTTGACACGAAACTGTCACTGCGCCAAGCTGGATCTGTCGGCACCTCCCCCTGCTGCGCCGCCACACCCATCTCAGCGCACCTCGGTCTGCCAAACTACCAAACTGAGCATGCCTCGGGTTGCGCTGCTAGAAACTAGCTCTGCGCAGGGTTCACCACCCTGTGCCACCCTGCGCTGCGCCGGGAAACTAGAGCCCCTGGTTTCAGCTGGCGAGCTTTTAGCACACCTTTGACGAAGCCTTTTGGCACGAAACTGTCAATGCGCCAAGCTGGATCTGTCGACGCCTCCCCCTGCTGCGCCGCCACACCCATCTCAGCGCACCTCGGTCTGCCAAACTACCAAACTGGTACTTGGTTATTCATTTCACTTGTCAGTGGTTTTAATGTTTTGGCTGATCAGTGTATGTCATGTCCAGCAAAGACATGTAGTGACTCTGCTAAAAGCCTGTAAATAAAAAGAAAGGGGTCAAATTAAACTGATGAAACAGCAAATACATTGGCAGAATTTCATTATTTTCCTAAATGATTGCATGCAGCATATTCAGTCTTAACCATATACGCATCAACTGCAAAGGCTTATATGTTGTATCCTGATAACGTCCCAATAATTGTGTGCAAGTTCAAGTAATTACCAGCATGGATGCTTACTGAATTTTCACTATCCACCATATCACCATTTCAGTGATATTTCAGTGATATTTAATTTCCTGTGTTAAAACTGTGGTCCAGTACTTAAGAAAGCCTGCATAACCACTTTGTCATAGTGATGATCTTTCAGAATAAAGTGTCACCTTAAATTACATCAATTTTCTTGTCTACTTTGTTGACCCTAATGGATCATTCTGAGTGTATTTTGTGGTTTTCATGCCATTGCCTCTTCATGGTGGCTGCCTTTATTTTATCCACATTTGTAATTAAACTTTAACGCTGAACTGGAGAAACATTACAAGGTTTTCCATTTAGTTGGAAACTACTTTCCAGTCATGGCACACTTGGGTACCTTCCATATAATCTACCGTGAAAAATGAAAAAAAAAAAAACCAAAACCCTCTAAGAACCACAGATAAGTGAAAAGATGAATAATAAAAACAAACTCAGCTTGCTGGGCTTTTTCACTGAGGAGAAGTCGCTGACTCCTCTCAGCTCCTCAACCAAAAACTAATATTCAGTGTAATTTGACAGTTTAGGCTAAAACACTGATTGATGCAATGCTCACTGCAGATCAACCATGTTGACTGTGCAAAACAAGAATGAGGGAGCATGGCAGTAAGCACACTGCCAGAGATTTACATCTTTGCAAGTGATTTATTTTGGGTTTCTGGATAATTCTATGGAAGCTTTCTGGAAGCGCTACATTATGCAGATGCAAAAAAGTGTTTTTCCTAGCATTTTCTGAATTAAGATTAAATACAAAATTCAATGACATACACCACTGTTCAAAACTTTGGAATCACCCGTTATAATAATATTTTCCTTCTTTTCTTCAATAATTGCTCTTTGAGAGAGATAAAACCAGTATAATTCAGGCACCAAATGTATTATTTACATTTGAAATAGTTTCGGCCCCAAAAGAAGAAGAATAAAAGTGGAAAAAAAACAAATTAAGAATTACAATATGATGTTTCCACTGCCTAGGAAAGTTCAATCATTATTTATGATCATGAGCTACTCTCTTTCAAAGCCAGAAGCCAGAGAAGTAAGTATTTAACTTGTGATGTCATTGAATATTAAATCTGGAACTGCTCCATAGACAATGAATGATTAAAACTAGGGATGGGCAGCACAAGCAAAAACACTATTCGAAAATCGTGGCAACTATTTGACAATTTTTCGAATAATCCCCCCCCGGAGCCACGCACACAGAGAGATCCATTCATCATTAAATGCCTGAACATACTCGGGCGGAGTTCCACGCGGACTCAAAAAAAAAGCAGACGTCCGCAAGCCCTGTGCGCACAAAGCTTCGCGCACCAGTGACTGCTCTGCATGTATTTTTCACATCGCAAGGATTTTTCACGGACATTTTTACAGGAAACTATAACGCAGAAGTGCGCTCGACTATGAAAGCCCGAATGACTGTGGACATTCCTCGCGGAGTAGTAGTCTCTGCATGTTTCTCCTGTTTGTAGAAGAGCATCAAACTAGCTGGTAGCCCATCTCACACCGCTGCAGCAATCCTATACTGCCCTTGTGCGGTTAGGAGCTGAATTGCATGTCAAATAAAGGGGGGAAATAAGACGGCGAATAGTAATAGTCGCATTAAAAAATCGATTTTTCAAAAATAAAACGACTATTCGAAATTCGAAAATCGTGACCCATCCCTAATTAAAACGTCCCCACAGTTGTGCATGATGGAAGAATACATTGGTATTTTGATTTTGAATTTGTTGTCCAGTCCAGATAGTGTGAGTGACCATCGATCATTATGGAACTACAAATTAATTCAAAAATATAAATAAATCAAAATATATTTGGAAGCCATTTTTCTTTGGGCCGTCTGCAATCTACTCATTGGCTAGACTGAATAAATCTGAACTGTGATTTGTCAGTCCACAGTATGTTCAGCTTCCAATTTCCTAACCTAAGACTAACCTATTCCTATTGTGAATTTAAGAACATGTTGCCTGTTAATTCCAGCTTGTTACAAGCATTATTGTGCCCTTGACGTTGAAACAAAAACCTGTTCCTAATCTGCACACATGTTGATGCTGTTGATTTCTTCTATACTTCTAATACGTCTCTTTTTGCTCTTTCAGTTTTGTTCTCCATGTACGAAAAAAACACTGTTTTAAACATTTGCAAAACCTTAATGCAAAAAACAACCATGTATTTGTAAAGAGCTAAGAAAATGACAGACCATTTAAAAAATATAGAGTATTACTCTCAGCTGTCTGACTGGACCCAATCAAGCTTTTGTGTGATTGAATTTGATTTGACTTTTTGATTGCCACAATGGCTATTTACACTGTTGGTGCAAATAGCATTGTTGACTATGGACATTTGGGTGCTAATAGCATCTGCCTTAAAACAAACAAACAAACAAACAAACACACACCCAAACAAACAAACAAACAAACAAACAACAACAATTTGCAGTCTGCTGTATAACATGTAAATTGAATATGTCCATCTGTAAATGTGACACATCAATAACAAGTGTGAGCTCACCAGACTGTTCTCATGCACAGTTTATACATTTTCCTACGAAAAGTAATGCACCAAAATTCATACATATGCCACGTGATGATGAGCCAGGCTGTGACCGTGTGACCAATGTGCTGATGGGCGTAAAGAATAAAACGATGAGGAGTCTCTAAGGTTGTAGGTTGGGGTGGTGGATGGGTCACAAAACACAGGACTATACCCTGAGTCTTTTCCCAGGAGACCATGTTTGGGAACCATGTGAACTTTGAGTCATTTAAACATATGTCCTCACCATGTTTCCATTTGTAAACCTAACCTCAGTAACTTAACTTGCCTAAACCAAACCTCCATAAATTAACCTTAAATGCGTAACTTAACGTTAAGTACGTAATGTCATTCATATGATGCTAATTCATATGATATCATACAAACCATTGTATGAGGATATGTTGGCGCTAACATAAGACAGTAGGCTAACTTAGTACAGTACCATATAAGGCTCAGACACTCAAAGTTCAAAGTCATAACTTGGACTTCCCTGACCTTTACACACACCAGCTGCATGCCTTTGGGCTGATCTGTGGCCTTTTAACCACTGCCCCGACATTTGTTCCTAAGAAAAGACTGAGCCACAACGATGCATAGTGTTCTTTTGTGGTTCATTGTGATCAGTCTTAGGTTATTGATTAGTATAATTTCAGCAGCATTCATTTAACTAGGAGATACTGTGGTGATTATCTTTGGCTATCACCTTGGGGTTAGCTTGAGGACATTGTCAAGCTGTGTGAGGTGGCCACTTTTTTAACTCTTCTCACTCCTGGCCTTATCAGCCTTTTCTGTGATTTTCTGTGAACGTGTTGTTCAGAGGAGTTGCCCACAGCACTAAGTGAAAACAAGCCATCTCAGATAGTCTAGCCTTTAAGATTTACTGGATTAATCATTTCAGTGGAAAATCACCTCCTGAGTTCCCAGAATGGTTTCTGTTCCCCCGTTGTGCAAAACCTCTGTCAGTAATTGAATTATACCTGGGGTACCTCAAGAACGCCTTACAGTCACAGCAAAGAGCTCCAGGATGGAGTATGGATGCCTGAAATTTAAAGCATCATTCATTTAACCATCTCTCTCCAGTGAACCTGCTAATCCTACAGTGCTGCAGGGAGAGAACCTCTTGATCTATCCCTCTGTCTGCTTCTCTGTCTGTCTAAGAGCAGAAAATATCATCAAAAGCTTTAGTTATATTGCACATTTGTTTTTTGTAGAAATTACCTTATTCTTTGCCATGCATATTTTACTCTCAACTGAGACATGAAACCTTACTGATACAACTTTTTCTAAAATTCCATTTTGATATTGAGATGAGAGTGCATTCGGAAGTAATTGCTGTAATTCATGCAGGTTATCTGTCTGTGTTTTGTCTGTACAGGCTGAGAACTCAGCTCTGTCAATAGAAAATGACAATCAGAGGAAGCAGTATGAACGCTGTCTGGATGAGGTAAGTGCTACTGTTCTCAAAGAACAAACATGTCTTGTGTCATCCTATGTATCTGAACTGTGTAGTCCAACAATACATTTTACTACAGAAACATTTATTTTATCTTGTATTGGAAATCCTGTTTGTATCCAATGTCAGTACTGATTTGCACTAGCAAACACTGTCACTGTATAAAATACCACTGCTGTCATCTTTCCACAATGTCAGCATAATTCTATGAGCATTCAGTATTGTGTAGACTTCTAGGAAGCAGCCTTTGTTCCAATTTGACCATTATTTTTCTTTGTTGTAGTCCAATTGGATGGATATACTGTACATTCAACAGAAGTGAAAATAAGAAAATCATCATAAGAGCTACACATTAACTTCATCCTACACATATCCATATCTGATTCTAAAGAATTATGAAAATTATTAATTATTTGCTTTTTTTTTCCCATAAGTGAGATGAGACGATGGATATTAACCTCATGTATATGAAGCTTGAGCCAGGATGTAGTTAACTTAAATTAGCATAACGACTAGGGGCAGCAAAGGCAGCATAATGCACCAGAACCTTTACAGTTCATTAATTAAAGGAGCAGGCCTATTCCACTGATTTACCATTACACTTCTATACTATTGCTGGACTCATGATGGACAGTTTTTTTTAACTATCAAAATTGACACAGCAGAGCCAGATAGTCTGTTTTATTCCAAACATTCTTCTTCCTAGTTAAAACCAGTCCACCAGGAAGTGCACCAGGCTTTGAAGGTAATTGTCATAGTGGTCAAATCATAGAATTACAACTTGCAAGTCAGTCACATGATGCCATCAGGCCCCAAAAGACTTTTTCCCATGACAAAGTCTAGAAGAGCCACACAATTAAATAATTTTATCCCCATTCAAGTTAGCGCAGGGCTGAAACGGAAGTAGCACGCTCGGCTAACGGATGGCCTGGTACAAAAAAATGCTTTGGTCCCTACAGCTAATTTCAACATTCATGGCAACTGTACAGGGGGTTAATTTTAATATGACTTCTCTGTTTGCACTTCATTGAGGCTTAAAGTTTTGCGTAATTAAGGGTGGGCTGCTTTGAGTGCCGATAGTGACCTCAACTTCTTAGTCAGATCCACCCCTCGCTCCTCCACAGCTCCTACCTCTCATCCAAATATGGTCATTTCTGGCTAAAAAAAAAAAAAGAAGCTTCAAAACAGTAGTCCACAAACCAATGGGTGACGTCATGGTAGCTACAGCCATTGGTCTATGGTGACCACTAACAGTTTGGTCTGAGATCTGGGTTATGCTAGCATTGACTAATGTAGCTTGGAGTTACATCACTTGAGGCAATTCACCAGATTTTGCGTAGCTCACTCTGGAACCACAAAAGGCTTTATACTACTTTTTTGTAGTAAAGTTGTAGTAAAGTTAGTACTCCCCAAGATGGACTCTTAAAGCCCCCCGAGGCAAATTTGTGATAGAAATAGACTTTACAGACTTAACATGTGTGAAGTCAGTGAAGTCCCCCTTTAACACATCAGCTTGTATCTTATTTCTTTATTCTGTACAAAAGCCAAAGTGTAAAATGACAAGTCGTAGATTTATATACCTCATTTTTGGGGGGTACAAATTAAACAAATGAGATGAAATGTGCAAATAAATGAGCTTTACAAGTGTGTGTTTTTTCTGTATCCACTTTGGACAGAACCAAGCTAACGTAAGCTAGCTGATTCACCCTGCCTGTTTTTATACTAAATTAACCCGCCTCACTGTAGCTACTAAATTAGCATTTAGGCTTATTTAGAGAGAGGTATCAGTCTTCTCATTTGACTCTTGATGAGAATAAAAAAGGGAGTGTAAGGTAGGGTCAGAATGTGATTATCTTAGCGTAAAGATTCAAGGCAGCAGGACAATACACGGACTTCTAAACACATTTTATCTCGTTATTTTAATTTGTACTGTACAAAAACCCTAATGTTAAAATTTAAAAAACTGTGGTTTTAAAGGGGGGGTTTGTGCCAAACTACATGTCTTATTTGACTAGCTACTGTACAAATAAGACACAATGTGTTATTCAGTAAAGTTAAGAGCCTTTGAGGTGCTGGTTGGTGGAGTTTGTCACTTTAGACAGAAACAGGCTAGCTGTTTCCCTCTGCCTTCAATCTTTATGCTAAACTAGGCTGACCGGACTCCAGTTCCTTTCTTAACACACAGTTATGTTGTATCAATTTTCTCCCCTCACTAATAAAAATTCCCAAAATGTTGAACTAAATTATTAACTTCAGGCCAGATAATGTTATCATTTGGTCAGGACTCAGACAGATTCTAGGTAGTTAAGAGATACACATATACACTCAGACTATTATCTATAGTGTTAGTGAAATCCATAGAGGAGGCCAAGAGAAAGGAACGTCTCTAATTGAAGTGGATAGACAACAGAGCCCTGGGCTATATGAGAATGAGAGCTGGAGCAGTGTGCCTTACCACTCAGGAGAACCGACTCCCAGCTCTCTTTCCCTCTCCTATTCTCCCTGACAACACTTTGATTGTCTTTCCATCTCTTTCTCTGTCTTTCCCTCATCTCTCTCCAGCCAGCACGACTGGACTGCTCCACTTTGGGTTTCTTTTTTTAACAGGCCTCACTAATGGGCTTGTTACCATGGAGATTGCTGCCCATGAGAATTTATCATATTCTGGTTGAGGACAGAAATTTCAGAGTTTCTGCTGTGGGATGAATTTCTCTTCTCCTGCTTTTCAGTCTTATTATGCACATTAATCTTTTTGGGGAGAGCATTCAGGAGGCTTTCTGTCATGGTCTGAATGAGCTGAGGCGAGTCATTTTGATAGATGAAAGAGGTGGAGGGAAATCATTTTGTGGCACACAAAAGTGGAAACATAGTTATTATTCCAGTGTCAAGGTATAATGTATGCTTCTGCTTCAGAAATCAAAATAAGCAAGAAAGAAGGCATTTCATATTATGGTGTTTTATATTCACAATGAAAACTAAAATGTTTATTTTTTCTCTAAAAAATCTGAATATAAAAGTTTGGTAAGTCTGATATCAGTTACATCAAGGCAGGCAATACGTTGTATAGGGACTAAGAGAAACATTCTTTTAAAAAGACATTTGGTCAGATTTTCAGACTTTGGTTTATTTATGTGCTGAGAATAAAGTTAGAGATACTAACTGCAGGCAGCTGCTGTGTGATTTCACAAAATCCGACTTTGTGATGCAATATGCTGTCAATTTGTCCTCACAGCATCTTACATGTCTCTAGATTCTCTCTGATGGAGTTTGTACTGGGTCATTTTCATTTACAGTCTCTCTGCATCTCAAAGCTTTACAAAAAGTTCTGAAATACACTCTAAAACAATGACCAAACTCCTAAGATATTTTAACATATTTTACTCTCTTTTCTTCAAGGTCGCTAACCAGGTGGTCCAGGCCCTCCTCACACAGAAGGTTTGTCTTTGTCTGTGCAGTATTGACACATTAATAATCTAGTCATTTTCCTCACATATATGTTTTGACTCAATCCAACAGCAGCCAGTGGCCATGTCAACCAGCAGACATGGAAAAGAGGATAGCTCTGATTAGCACAGAGGCTGTAAACACTGTTGTGTTTAATAAAAAACAGACAGCAACATGGAAACCATTCAGCTCAGGCAGAACTACATTGTAACTGTGTAAAGTACAACTGATCAGTTTGCTTTGAAAAGTCCCAAAGTTAATTTAACAGAAGTACAAAAAATGTTGACTATGTTTTTTTAAATGTATGACTTAGACTTTATTGTCCCCTTGAGGAAATTCTTTTCCACAGCACCATCTCCATTCCCAATGCCCACCACAGAACAGAAAAAGACACACATTTTGAAACACACAGTAGAAAAACAGACAAACAAAACGGTGTCCACACTTAACATAGTCCACACTCTGGCCTGCTCAGTGAGGCCTTTTGTTTAGTAGCCTAGTATAATACTACTTTTAATCTATAAAATTACAATGTAGCTTTGATTAGAATTTTTCTTCTTTAGGGCACTAGAGATAAAGTTCAGGACTTGACTTGGGGCTTTATAGCCAAGACTTAAGTCTTACCTGTGAAATGTAAAACACTGACTTCCTGCATCTGCTTTAATAATTTGTCAACTTGTAGCTTACTGGGTAGAGCGCATTCCATTACCTGCAAAATGGCCAGTTGTTTATCACTTTCTTACTGTATGTTGTGTTGAATTTGTGGCAAAAACTTTGTTTTTCTCACATGCCTCCATGGTGAACAAAGAATTAAAAAAGGCAGATATTTTTCATGAATTGAAGTCACTGGGGATGTTATTAACAACAGCAAATCTATATCAAAACATCCACTTACAAACTCTCACATAACTCGTGCAGTATAATACAAGTCTCAATCACCCAGTCATATGCTCAGTACTTCCCAAACATGCATCGCCACTAAAATGTTAGAATACAACACTTCCGCCCACGTGAAGTGCTCCCTGAGTGTGCCCGAGCATGTGTGTGCATATAAGCTCCACTTAAGCAGAGTTCAAACCAAGCGGCAACCTCCATGGCTGAAAAATGAAGCCAAACTCTGAAGTGCCAATAGTGGGGCAGATAACCAAAACAATTGTGCACTTCGTGATAAAAGCATGAAATCTGGCACACTTATAGCCAAAGACATTCTGAAAATATTTGGATATGGAGCCATCTTGAATCATGGCAGCCATTTTTCATAATGGCCGCCAGCAAAAAAAAAGTTTTCTTATGTGTGATGGATATATTTTGATATTGAGGATATTGTTAAATTTATTTACCATACCATTATGAATTGCCTTTTGCATACTTTACAGCCAGAACATGAGCTTTGGTTGGCATTTGATGTTGGGAAGAACTTTAGATACCTTGCAGCCCATGAACCTGCAGCAGGGCTAGGGCCTGAGAAAGCAAGTGCACAACCAATGTTCGATGCATTGATGGGCTGTGACACTGTGACCCTTTTGAAACTGTCCTCAGCCGCAAATGACATACCACAGGAAGTAATGACCACAATAGAAAGGTTCATTATACTACTCTATGATACTACTCTGTGACCACACACACACAGAAATAGACAAGGCGGAAGTTATTTGCTCCTCCACAGCGACAGCCTCTTGCCCAAATATGATCCCTCTTTATTTCAGTTCATGAAGATTGTTCGGCTTTTATGGATTCTCTGTTCACGGTGGAGGAACGCAAGAAAAACGTTTTCTTCACAAATTCAAGGCAACACCCAATAAGTACCTAATGTACAGATGGTCATTTTGTGGGTTAAGTATTTTGTAAGGCTGAGACTTCACCACGGAGGCCTGGGTTTGAGTCCAGTCCAGTCCCCTCTGCTGCAGGTTCTTCCCTCTATATCTCTCTCACTATCAGTCAATCAGTTAATAAAATATCCTTTGGAAAATGTCAACTGAACTAAAATCTGAGTCTGTCTAGGACAGGGGTCAGCAACCTTTACTATCAAAGGAGCCATTTTTGACCAATAATAATAATAATATTAATAATAATAATAATTATAATAATAAAATTTGTGTGGAGCACAAAACATATTTGAGCCTTACAATGAAGGTAACAGCCTATTAAGTCTAAATTAGCCTATATTAATAGTCTAAATGAGCATTTATTTATGTGTTTTACCACAAGGTGGCTACTGCGCAGGCCACTTTTAGTGATTATTTGGTACCTTAACTTTGGAGAGCTGGCAGTGAAAGCAAAAAAATCTGTCCATTCTCTATTTTATTCCAAGACTTTTAACCTTTTGGATTTGGCATCCATAGCTAACTAGCTAGGGAGGTCCAAGACTAGCTACTGCTGCTATTGAGGTCCTGCAAAATTTCGAGGAACAGATGCCAGGCAGTAGATGTATTACACTCAGTTTAGTTGTTGAAATGTTAAAAAAAAGAAAAGAAAATAAATATATTGGTATATAGGCTTCACAGTTTTACAGTAAGAGTTGAGGGGCTTAAGAGCCACACGTGGTTGCCTGCCCCTGCTCTATGGCATGCCACTTTTCATCATAAACCAATGGTATGGATTCCACAGGAATCTATTGGTATGTTTTTTTACTACAAAACAGCGTTAAAGTTTTAAGTATTGATCAAAATTGCACATAAAGGCAAAGTGAAAGAAAAAAAAGATGGAGAGGGATTGAAAGAGTTTTGAAAAATGTAGTCCTTATCTTGTGACCAATGTTACAACTAAGAGGCTACTATCATTAAAAGTTCAATAGAGTACTATCATTTAAATCATTCACATAAATAGCCAAGTGGAATAATAAATGAAAGTAACACTTAAACATTCAATACTGGATCAACAGTGGACTGATAAGAGTACAGGCATTTGGCAAAATGTAAGTATTAAATAAAAGTCTTGATCATTAAGAAAGGTTCATTTTGTTTCTAATGTTGGTTGTAAGCATTTGAACCCTGTACTGCAAGGTAACTACAGCCATCAGATAAATGTAGAGGAGGTAGTTTGAAGGAAAGAAACCTCAATAAATTTAATTACTGAAATACATGAGCACTTCAAAATGACTTTGCTACAATAATTACATACATACATTTATTTACTTCACACGTTTGAATATGGAGTCATTTGTTTATGATAATTGCACTAATTTATGTGTCGGACCACATATCAATCTTGATAGTGCATATTTTCAACATTCTACACAGAAAGCACACCTTGCAGTGTGAGGATACATCTTGCATGAAAACATTGTGCATTGTGTCGTGTTTCTGTTACATTAGCATCTGGTACACGTGTAGTTCTCTGAAATACCCCCGTCAGTTGCAGTTATCTGTCCATTTTTTCTCCTCTTTGGGGGGGTTTCTAGGACTTGAAAGAGGAATGTGTGAAGCTGCGGACCCGTGTATTTGACTTGGAGCAGCAAAACCGCATACTGAGTGTGCTGTTTCAACAACGTGTCAAAATGTCCACGATTCCTGTCTCTCAGGTAGGAACACATGGCACAATGGATACAAACAGGCACTGACAGACCTAACCTGCTTCAAGGCTGTTTGAATTTTACATGAGCAGTGCTCTACTTCTAAAGGTTACTAACTTTGAAAAGGACCACAAAGAGGGAGAAATCTACCCAGGGTGCAATTGAATTTAAATTGTTAGGATGTACAGATTTGGAAATGGATCCATTTGGGCCTTATTTTTTGTACGTTATTAACCAGTGTGCTTAGTGTCAAATTGGCATATTCAAATTGCACTGTGGGCCATCAAACAGGCATTACCACCCCTTACCACTCTTCCTTTATGCTAATCATGTCAGAATTGAGCCTAATAGTGAGCCACCCAGCTGTAGCTGGAGAGTGAGCTGCAGAGCTGCACATGTTCCTCTAATTGGAATGCTCTCAACCATACAGCGGGAGGGATAATTGGTTAAAACTTGAGCCTTCTTGTAGTTTTGTTAGCCATCATGTTCAGTTGTTGAGCTTCACCACTAACTGGGCTGTAGAGCTTTAAAGCTGCACTAATCAATGTTTTCATACAAAAAAAAGAAAAGAAAGAAAGATTAACTGACAATCCATAGAGTGTTATCACACTGCTCTGCATTTCCTCTCAGCTCCTCGAAGCATTTTAGGATCTTTTTGTTGACTGTTTTGCTTTCCTGGCATGCAAACTTCCTTCTAATTATCAATTTACAATCAATCTGGAAATCCATCGGTACTTTACCTCTGGAGGCACTGCCTGTAGTTTTTCGACTAACGGAAGTGCAGGGGCCTCGGGGATCGCTCACCCCCTTCACTTCCGGCGGTGCCCCCAGGGAATCGGCTTGTTGTTTACAAATACTTCTAGGTAGAAAATCAGCAGAGTTTAGCTAGCTATATATATAGGCCTATCTCACATTTTTCACGTCACTATATCACCGTTAAGACTAATCTGATATTTGTAAAGTCTATCAACACAATGATTGAACAAACATTACTATTTCTATGTGCACGTTTTGTAAGTACTAACATGGTTATCGTAGATTAGCTGGGCTAACCGTTAGCTGTTAGCCCCATTAGCGGTGTCTGTAATTACTCAGTAACTCAATAAGCGGATATCTTAGTTACAACACGATTGAGCTAGCAAAGCAGTTTTGTGAAATCACGATGTCGAGAAAGCATCAGTGGCTGTAGCTGACAGGGACAACTAACAGCAGCAGCAAAGCTAACATCAGGACGTCATCTGTTAAAAGCCTCCCGTTGTCGGATTTGACATGAAACTACTCCAGTTAGCTTAAGCATGTTGTAAGTAAGACATCCGCTAGAAAAAAATTTTTTTTCCCGTTGACGAGACGGTGTTTTGGGTGGAGTGGTCGCCATTGACGCGGAGGTACACCTGCACCTGCACGTCTTGGCCCCGCCCCCTCCATTGTGATTGGCTAAAGGGCAGCATCGTTCAAACTCAAAGGAGATCAAAAACAGAGCTAAAAGTGAATAGTGGACTTACAAACATCAAGTGGCCAGAAACACAACTGAAAATGAGTACTAACGATGCTCTGCTGGATGTGTAAATAGGCAACTGTTTGCCAACATTTAGCCATAAAAACTTGGAGGTGCAGTCCAAAAACTCAAAAATGAGTAAACATTTTGCACTTCCAGTTCTCTTGTCTTGAAGTCAGTGGGTTTTTGAATGTTTTTTTTATTAAATGCCTGAAATAAGGTCTGTGGTTTTGTTTTGTTCTATGACATAAAATAGGCTACATCAGTAAATACCCCACTTGTTAATAGGCTACTGAAACTTTTATGAGTCTTAAGAAGGCGGTTGCTAACAAGTGGCTAAATGAAACTACAGAGCATCATCACACAGAACACGGTTTAACGGCCTTGTTATATTGGCGATGTTGAAGTCACGTGACGGTGTTGTAGTTTTTTTATAGCCCAATTTAAGCTTTTTACTTCTGGTGGTTTCATTTACACTTTAAAAATCACAACAGTGGTGTTCATTTTTGAGATTATCTTGCTGAATTAACCATGTAACTGTCATAAACATTTGTTTGCCACAGAGCTTATTTTCTGAAATAATTCAAAATCCAATGGAAAAACTCACTGACTTCTTGTTAAGGGAACCAGGGCTAACTTGTAGCTATCTGCAGCACTCTTTAAGGTGATGATTACAGTGTTTTGTTTTTAGCTTGTTCCACTGCCCTCCCCAAAAACACAGTTATGGCAACTTTTAGGTTAGATTTAGGTTGTTACCACTGCTACACAGTAATTTTTTAATATCTCCAGCAAATGAACAATGATTGTAACATACTCTTTCAGCACTATGGTACTCACACAACATTAATACGTGCTAATTTTTGTTTTCTTATCAGCTATTGTCTGAAACTTGTTAGTCATTGCTCATGATAACAAAAGCCTTAGAAAGGTGCTTTGGTTGCCAGATATGTCACCAAGACAGGATTAGGCATTACAAAGGAGTTATTTAAATGATAAAATCTTGTAGCAAAGAGTCTGTTTAGGACAGGAAAAGTCAGAACAGTTAGTACTGAAGAATGTTATGATACTAAAAAAGAAAGTCTTTACTAAATGCTGTTGTCACTTACTATTGACCATCTTTATTTTATTTTATTTTATTTTTTTTATTTTATTTTTTTACCATTTTGTTGATGCTCATGTTTCTTTTAAAATGTTCATTATGCACATTATAAGACACCATAGTAAACTGCAGTTATATGCATTTTCTCCTTTGAACAACACTGATATTCAGTATGACAGTACTCTAAGTTAAATTTCCTTTTAACCTTTTTCTACAGCAATCCTTTGATCCACAGGTTGGCTGATTCATTTTGTAGAATTATTTTAAGTATTTTGAGGTCTATTTATGTGACCTTGCTGAGGGGCTGGATTTGGCAGCTTTGATCGGCATCCAACAATAATGAGGCAGCGCTGCTCTCATGCGCTGGCTGGATGGACACGTTTTAAACTGATCAAATCCAATTAGATCTGAAGTATTTTCAAAATATGAATGGTGAGCTGAGTCATACTTTCCATCCATTTATAATACAAGTAGATTTGTTTTGGTATTAAATTCCAAAACTGATATATATGCTATATTTATGCATATTTCAGCACTGAGTACCCTACCTCCCAAATTTTGAGGGTTTAGCAAGTGACAATCTCCCAAACAAGCATTTATCATAAAACAGAAACTGTAGAGCAAACAAACTTGTTCTGCAAATAACTACAACAGGGTTGTGTTGCAAAGGATAGAAATAAGTGTTCTGTTTTGAAACTTACTGCATGACTCTAAAGTCAGCTGTAAAGATCTACCATGAATAATTGATGATGGATGATAATTTTGATGGACGGATGATTCTTTTTGAATTTTGAGCTGAATATTGAAAGAAAACTCATGTAATAGATGGTGGAGCCCAGCTTGTTAGCCCATCATTTTCAAAGAAGTGAAAGCTGTAATTGACAGAAATGTTGGGTTATTGGACTGCAATGAAGATCCCTCACTGTCATTGTACCAGCGGGAATACACATACTTGTTGAAGCCAATTACAAAGATACGACACTTTGTAAGTGTGTGCTGTGCTGTTGAATAGCCACAGCTGTGCAAATACTGGTACAGTGTGCTGCTTGTCCACACGCCTTCATTATTTGAAGTCAGGCTGCAAGCATGTGATCCTGGGTCCAGTCTTAATATAATTTGTTGTTTTGTTGAGTAGGCTTCACTCCTCTTAGCTTTGGTGTGTTTATTCTGTATTTAGGCAGAAGGCAAGCAGCAACAAAAACAGATATGTAGTACCAGAGTCAAGAAAGTCAACCACCAAATTATCTCACAATCACAATAGGAAACACGGCAATGTCTTGGAAAAAAGAACCTGTTTTTGTGGTGCAAAAACATGCTATAAGCACCCAAGATTGGTGTCTAAAAAGCTGCTAGAAAAATAGTGATGACATGCTTAAAACCAACTGGTTTTGTTGTTTGTTGATCTCAAACAGTGGTTGATAGTGGTCTGCAGCTTAGCAGGCGTCTCGCAGGCATAGTACCAGAGGCAAGAAAGTCACCACAGAATTATCCCACAATCATAGCAGGAAATGCAGCAATGTCTTGGAAAAAACAACCACCTTTCATGGCACTATCCCAGCTGGAAACATAGTGATAGATCACTAAAAAAACACCAACTACTGATGTCTTAAAACCCCCGGGAAACACAGTGATGATTTGCTAAAAACCAGTTTTGTTGTTTGTTGGTCTTGACCAGTGGTCTGTAGTGGTCTGCAGCTTGGCAGGTGTAGTACCAGAGGCAAGAAATTCAACCACCAAATTATCTCACAATCACAGCAGGTAAAGCAGTGATGTCTTGGAGAAAGCAACCACTTTTTGTGGCATTATCCCCACTGGAAACACTGTGACTGATCCTTAAAAAACACCCATGATTGGTATCTAAAAAGGTCTGTTGGTCTTGAAAGTCAGCTCATATACTGCATCACTTAAGAAATATTGTCTACAGCTGGACATTGCATGCACTTGTGGAAAACATTTTCTTTAAATGCCATATTCTGGTCATATAATCACATCAACTTCTGAGTGGCAGGTTTGAGCTGGCAGCTTACAGATCTGCTGTGTCTTTGAATATCATTCAGAATGAGTTCAGGGTTGCCAACTCTAATGCTTTTGGTGTTGGACACCTCCTTTGAGGTATTGTCTCAAACTGCTGACCAAACAAGTATAATGCCACATAAGAGAAAGCACTAAAGCCATTCCTTGATGAAAAATAAACCTAGAGTACATAAGTTATAAAAGCTACTGCTACACAGGATAACTTATGAACATCAGGCTTTTTATCAGCATCAAAAGTGTTCCATGTACATTACAGAGACACGATTTTCATGGCTTTCGGTGGCAGAAGCATGCACACACACACCTTTATGTATGTTTGCATTTTCCACTTTCTCTTAACTCCAAACGTTGTCTATTTTACAGCTTGAAATGTCCATTAAA